CTAGGCCGTTGTTATATCCGGACTTCTCTGGGGGATTGGTATTTCTATGCATTTATTTCGTCCACCGGGGTAGATTGTTCTAATTCCAGGTGCCATGCTTCTTCCGGGTGTCTCAATTCTTTTCCTTTAATTCAACTCCCCAATTTTTAGTTCACCACTGCTCTGGCCTGGTATTGAACGCACAACTCTTTGGCTCCAGCCGTCATCAGGTGACTGGAATTTCGAAATATATCTCTGATATGTGGTATTATGATTACTTGCATTATTTACATTATCCTGGCTGTAATCCTCATCTTCATTGACGTATTCACAACGTTTCGGCCGTTGTACGCTCCGTCCTTCTTCAGGCGATTGGAATTTCGAAATATATCACTGAGATGGAGTATTATGATTAATTGCATTATTTACATTATTCGGACTGTTATCCTCATCTTCATTGCCATATTTACAACGATTCGGCCTCTAGATCTCTGAGATGGAGTATTATAATTACTTGCATTATTTACATTATTCGGACTGTTATCCTCATCTTCATTGCTATATTCATAAGGCTTCGGCCTCTATTTCTCTGAGATGAGGTATTATGATTACTTTTATTGTTTACATTATTCGGACTGTTATCCTCATATTCATTGCCATATTCACAACGTTTCGGCCTCTATATCTCTGAGATGAGGTATTATGATTACTTGCATTATTTAAATTATTCGGACTGTTATCCTCATCTTCATTACCGTATTCACAACTTCTAGGTCGTTGTAAGATCCGGAATTTCGAACCGAACTCTTTATTTCGTCCACCGGGGTAGATTGTTCCAGTTCCAGGTGCCATGCTTCTTCCGGGTGTCTCAGTTATTTTCCTTTAATTCAACTCTCCAGTTTTTGGTTCACCACTGCTGTGGCCTGGTATTGAACTCACAACACTTTGGCTCCAGCCTTCATTGCCATATTCGCAACGTTTCGGCCGTTGTACAATCCGGTCTTCTTTAGGTGATTGGAATTTCGAACCCAACCCTCTATTTCGTCCACCGGGGTAGATTGTTTTAGTTTCACGTGCCAAGCCTCTTCCGGATATCTCAATTATTTTCCTTTAACTCAAATCTCCAATCTTTGGTTCACCACTACTGTGGCATGGTATTGAACTCACAACTCTTTGGGTCTAGTCACTGCATCTAACCAACGTCATTAGCCATTCGGCTATGTGTCCTTGAGGTCTACAATTTTTTGTTAACTGGGGCAAGGAATGACTTGTTAATTTTAACGAAACTTCTACTTTACTACTTCTCATCAGCATTGCTGACGCATCAGAGGGACTCGTTGCGACTTCTCGGTCCCAGATGACATGAAGAAGAAAGACTATAATTAAATCCATTCCTAGGTCTGACATTTTTCATTGATTGGTTATTGTTATTAAAACCTTATATAAAAAATCTTTACTCAACAGTTGCATATTAATTTATCAAGTAAATCTATAGACTTAAATTATTTACTGATTTCTTAAAGAAGCTACTTATTTATCAAGTTTGGTCTTTGTTTCATGTTAGCCATTTTTTCTTTCCCTTATCTATCTTGCATATTTATAAGTCTACCATTGTCCGTGCTTTGAATATTGCTGCCACATATGGTCTGGTTGTCCTGTATATTTAGAGATTCTTGATAAAACCCAGAGAATAATCAGCAATATTATTTATCCTGACCTGGCATCCCGGCTTCGGTTACTTTCCCATCGTTGTAATGTCACTACTCTGTGACTTTATGAATTTAAGCGCAGTACTAGATTGGCGGTAAGGTCTCATTAATCCACAATTGGCTAGACATAACCGTAAGTTCTATGCTAACAAGTTCTTTTCTTACACATCTCTTTCGTGGAACTTGCTTCCGGCTTCATGCCTTCTAGCCAACCTCTAATTTTTAAAAATGTAAATGCAATGTCAATCGCTGTCTACTGTCTTAACTAATCTTCTATTCTTCTCTCTCCCTAATGTTTCTCTTTTTTTTTCTTGCTCTTCCACATTCAGTAACCCATTATGTCTTAGTCGTTATGTTAATATTCTACTAAGTCTTGAACATTATTAGAAAGTTTTTATACTTTAATTTTTAAATATATTTTCTCAATTATATTGGAATGCAATAATTCAGGATGTCGTTTTATTACCGCAATTACCCATGTATAATACGCCTTCATCCATAATACGCACCCCCAAAATCTCTTTCCCTCCTCTGTTAAAACACTTAAAGATATTTAAATGAATGAGCGTGCCCATATCAGATCCTAATGTTGATATGGGTACGCCTGACGACTGGGTTTAAGCATGAAACTGTCACCGCTGGGTATTGACATCAGTGTCTACTTTTATATTTAAATATTGTTATTGACGACTTTAACTCATAAATATCCTTTTTCTTATGTGCCGTGACCCCCCCACTCAGGACGTAGGCGACCATTGCTTACCACAACCTCCAGTCCTTTGTAGCTCTTAATAAACTTTCTTCTTTCTTTTATTTCTCTTACGCCCCTTTCCACCATCCAGTTACTCAAGCTCATCCATTTACGCAAGCTTTTCTCTGCCCCCCCTTGACCTCTATCTGTCCTGTGAGTATCAGATTTTCTAAGCCCTCCTTCCTCATTATATGCTCTAGGAATTTCAATTGTATCTTTCTGGTGTTAAGTTTAAAATTCTTTTTTGTTTACATTTTCTCTAATACCTCGTCGTTGCTCACAGATTCTGTCCATGGTATCCTCAGCATCCTTCTGTAGAATCACATTTCTTTTACCAAAACGAATTTCTGTTAGCGTCGGACAGCCGATTTCACGCATATCTCATTCACACAAACTCGTACTGACTAATAGTAACCAATCTTGTCATAAAAATCTATTTTAAATGTCTGTTTTTTTTTGTTTTTTTTTGTTTCAAATAAAATTTGGTATATCTTTGGAGTACTTAAATCAACTACTGTAATTCCCATGTATAATACGCCTTATTCCATAATACGCACCCCTAAACTTGTTTCTACTTATGCATAATACGCACCCCTTGTTTGGTAATCAAACCCTATAAATTGTACCTCTTCAATTTCATTACGACCAGCGTTTCCTACTCTTATTTAAAAAAAACGAAAAAAAAAAAAAAAAGAAATAAAGAAAAGAAAGCATCAGTTTAAATCAGTAATTCCCTAGCGTGCCATGAAATATTGTCACGGCACACATATATATGTATGACAAAATATTATGAAATGGATTAGGTTCAACAATTATTTTATATATTTTCTGTTTATACGTTATTTTATAGATATAATTTATCTAGGTAAATGCTCTGCTTTTTAATTAAACAGTATTAATTACATTTACCGATTGGAATGTTCGAGAAAAATCGTCGAAGGTATGTGTTTATAAACAGTAATTCGAACTTTGTTAACCAGATGCTTCTCTGTGGCTGAATGGTACAGCACGTCAGATCAAATGACGGCTCCAATTATGGTTACAAGTTCGATCGGTAAATTTTTAAAATGGCAAGGATATGTAGATCCTTATATGAAACCTTTTTTCTGTTTTTACATGAAAAATTGCAAATTATCAGGTTCTTTGATAGGAATGCTTTATTAAACGAAAGATCCGAGTTAACGGTAAATTGTAAACACAGTATACCTTATACTTTACTATTCAGTTCGATTTAGAATTTGACAATTGGTATCATCTTGTACGGATGTATTGGTATTTAGTTGGTATTTTGCATTGATTAGTTATTGTTATTGACACGTATATAAAGAATCTTTAATCAACAGTTGCATATTAATTCATCAAGTAAATCTATAGATTTAAATTATTTAGTGGATTCTTAAAGAAGCTATTTATCAACTATAAAAATGTTTTTTTATGTGGGAAACTCACAAAGCATATAACTTGTCTAGCATCTTGTTAGATTACTACTTAATTTGTCTTAGGAAATGGCGTCATCTAAATGTACAACATGTATCCATCCACATCCGCTCCTCTTTGGTGTTTGTTGCTATCACTGATTTCAAACTTACGGTTCATGATCCATTTATGGAATATAATTTCTTAATTTCTGCTTCTTCCCTTCTTAGACTAAATATAACTTAGGTTTTATTTGATTGGTTGATCTAAGAAAACCTTATAACCACCCCTCCTCTTTTCTTTTTATTTTTTTACTTTTTGCGTAAAAAGAGGCTGTATTTATTGTTAAACTAAATCTCTTCTTTTTCTTTGTTCTATCTCTACAATAGAAAATCCAACGGTTGAAAAATTCCATATTGGTAGTACTAAGTAATCTTTCAAGACGAAATGGTATCAATATATATTGTCCTTTGCTAATAATATATAGCAATAATACATCACTTTCTGAATATTTGTGTAGTTTGAAAGACGATAATAAAACTCCTATGGTGAAATGAAAAATTTTAAAAATAGCAAGGACATGTAGATAAATCCTTATATGAACCCTGTTTTCTGTGTTTACATGAATTTTTGCAAATTATCAGGTTTTTGATAAGAATGCTTTATTAAAATAAAGATCTGAGTTAACGGTAAATTGTAAATACGGTCTACTTTTTACCTTGCTATTCAGTCAGATTTGGAATGCTTTTTCATAGATTTTAGTTGAATTCTATTGCACCATATATGGCTTATCTTTCTGTCAGTTGATTTATTTAGATTTAATATAATTTTTTATTAATCTCCTTGTAGTATTTGTACCATTTTTACGAATGTATTGGTATTTAGTTAGTATTTTGACATTTTGCATTGATTGGTTATTGTTATTAACACCTTATATAAATAATCTTTACTCAACAGTTGCATATTAATTTATCAAGTAAATCAATAGACTTAAATTATTTACTGATTTCTTAAAGAAGCTACTTATTTATCATCTATAAAAATGGTTTTATGTAGGAAACTCACAAAGCATCTATCTAATTTAGTCTGTTCATATCTATTTACCCATCTAAGTTAAATTTTTATCACTTTTCATGTTACAGGGCTTACGGTCATATCACGCTGAAACTCTGGTTCTCCTATGATCACCGAAGTTAAGCAACGTCGAGCCTTGTCAGTACCTAGATGAGTAACCACGTGGGAATACCAGGTGCTGGAAGCTTGGATATGTAATGGGTGATGTAACGGATAACCGCTCATATTTGAAAATCGGAGTGCCGTGTTCCAATTCAGGTCAGGTTTATTATATTCATTTAGGAACGTTATCAATTCACCTATTCTCATCTCCCCACCAGATATGGATTAATTAGTATGGCTTGTATCTGTAAATCATGATTATCACACCAAAATGTTTACAATCTAAAGATTTTTTCTCGCTTTAAATAGCCCGCAAAAGGTTGATAAGCCGTCAAAAAACAATCAATCTATCATGATACATTAATATCATATTCACTATTTACATTATTCGGACTATTGTCCTCATCTTTGTCGCCATATTTATTACAATCATTTGTAATAATCATTGGTCATTAACTAAAGGTATCTTAATTCGACATTACAACGTATTTATTACAACGTTTCGGACATTCTACCTGAAGAAGGACGGAATGTCGAAGTGAACTCTTTATTTCGCTCACTGCAGTAGACTGTTCTAGTTCTACGTGCCATGTTATCACGTGTCAGTAATCTCCTGTTAATTCACCTCTCCAAGTTCTCCACTGCCTTAACCGGGTATTGAACTCACACTCTTTGGATTTAACCAACGCTTTATCCACTGTTCTATGTGTCCTTGAGGACATCTGTGTATGAATTTCTGGGTATTATAAACCTAATGTCTTCAGCAATCATTTTTTTTTACCAGTGCTGATATTGCAATTTCATAAGTAAAAGGTCTGAGTGCATTTTACAAATTAACACTAATTGCTGACAACAAGGATCGAAACCTTTTTGACGACTCTTCCGGCGCTCAAGTCGACTTGTAAATGGATCGACGTCTTTTTAATTGTGTGCATGCGTGTGTTCGTACAAATGTGCAAGTATATGTGCATATGCGAAAGTGCATAAATGTACATCTATATGAAAAATGCAAGCTTCCGTCAGGTTTCGACAAGACACCGTTTGAGATGTTGGCCGGTCCGATGTTGAAGTAGTTTTTCTTCCTCCTTTGACTAAAGAGTATCTTAACAGCGCCACGCCTCCTTCCAGTTCGAAATATATGGAACCAGTCAGTGCACTACAGAGAAGTACTTAGAAGCCGGGCGGAAGAACCTCTCTATTTTTGCATCCTACCCACCGTCTTCACTTCGGGTTTAGCCATTTCTGTCCGTTTTAATCAAGCATGCAGGACGGATAACGACAGGAGCCCCTTAATTTTTCCCCTTCGTTACACACAGGCAGGCCGGAAGACCAGCTCGTGGCTTGATTACAGGTAATCCGCCAGATGTGTACTGGGGCGATGACTCATGATAGTCCAAAGGTGATTCATTCGAAGAAATAGTATACGATGTGCGCAGGCGCAGACGCACGCATGCGCAAACGTTCATGGACCGTTTTTTTCCCATTTTGTCTATCTCTCTGTTTCTCATGAAATTACATATACACACATACTCACGCACGGGTACACTTATAAGCGCACTTATACAAGCTTGAAAACTAATACATTCCATTCTCAAGAATATATAGATATTGATATATCTGCTTACGCCTGCCGTGCAAAATAAATGACAGCCTCTTTTGTTAAGTCTGAATCATTTTAGATGATTTTTACATTATTTTTCTAATCAACATTTTAATGTATTGGGTCGTCAGATAAACTCGTTCGTTTTTTTTCCATTAATTTTAATCTTATGATTCATCAACAATTTTAAGAAACCAATGTCTTTTTGAATCTTAAGCGCATTTTAATCACGCAGTCAAAATGATGACGTATTTTCTTAAGTCCTTACTATAATTAGCTTTTCCTAACAGTGTCTTTTAATATATTTTTATGATTATTATATTACTATGTAGTAATACAGAATGGATTAATTTATTCCTTAATAACAAAAGAAAATCGATCTCCCGCTATATGTCCACTAGAATCTTAAACGTTGTTTACTTATGTTCTCAAAAATGATGACGTATTTTACTTAAGTCCTTAATATTAACAGGCTTTCACGTATGAATTTTTAAAAACGTTTTTCCAATTATCATATTAATATGCAGTAATACTTGAGGGATCAGTTTATTACTTTAAAATAAGAGAAAACCGATCTCCCACTTTATGTACACTCATGTCGAACGTATTTTGACCATGTTGACGTATTTTCTTAAGTCCTTAATATTATTAGATTTTTACATCAGTGCCTTTTAATATATTTTTATAATTATATTCCAAAGGGATCAGTTTATTACTTCATAACAAAATAAAATCGATCCCCCACTATATGTCCACCAGAATCTTAAGCATAGTTTACCCGTGTTATCAAAAATGATGACATATGAGAAATATGTCATTAAATCCTTATTGTTATTAGGTTTTCATATTAGTTTCTTCAAATATACAGTAGAATCCCTGACAACAGGACTAAGAAGGCCTTCTGGATATGAGGAATTGGTTACAAAGTCCGGATATGAGGAATTGGTTACAAAGTCCGGATATGAGGAATTGGTTACAAAGTCCGGATATGAGGAATTGGCTACAAAGTCCGGATATGAGGAATTGGCTACAAAGTCCGGATATGAGGAATTGGCTACAAAGTCCGGGTATGAGGAATTGGTTACAAAGTCCGGATATGAGGAATTGGTTACAAAGTCCGGATATGAGGAATTGGCTACAAAGTCCGGATATGAGGGGTTATATTTAGATTAACTGACAACCTTTTCAATACTTTTTCCAATTTCAGTCTAGATTTCATCACAATCATGTTTTTATTTCCTTGTTGAGTGTGACAGTGTGAACGCTGTAGAATAATTTCTTTGGAAGATTTATATCATATAATTCAGCAGCGTGAATATATACTACAACCACCATATATATATATATATATATATATATATATATATATATATATATATATATATGATAAAATATACTTTTAAGTATATAAATATAAAAGTGTACATTTAAGTCGGCAGCCAGCTTAAACACATGGAACGCATTGTGTTGGCTTCAATGTCCACGTATATATATATATATATATATATATATTATAAGAACACAAGAAAAATTAAATAAAAAATTTAACCGCGGTACCTTGTTAGTCGTTTTTAATGAAACTTGTATAAAAGAGGGATTGCTACCCAAATACATAATTATATATATATGTGTGTGTGTGCGTGTATATGTGTGTGTGTGTGTGTGTGTGCGCGCGTTGGTGTAGAATTTCAGATATAAGTAAAATATATCGGTAAATGAACAATATGTATAAAGACAAAACTAAAACTTATCTTACTCGACGCGTTTCGTCCTCCGATGGGCATGTTCATTGATAAAGTTCATCAGAGGACAAAGCGCGTCGACTAAGGTAAGTTTTCTCTTTGTTTTTTGATATATATATATATATATATATATATATATATATATGTGTGTGTGTGTGTGTGTGTGTGTGTGTGTGTGTGTGTGTGTGTGTTTGTATATATATATATATATATATATATATAAAAAGGGTAAATGTATATATATATGTGTGTGTGTGTGTGTGTGTGTGTGTGTGTGTAAAAGGGTAAAAATACTGGAAGCATCATTAATAAAAAAAAAAGAAAAAGCCAACACTAAATAACATGAACTATGTACACGGCCACAATGTGCTGGCCGTGTTTGGAAAATAAAACATTCCTATAACTCTAGACACATAAATAAAACAATCCATACATTCAGTTAAAAGTAATATATAAAATCCATCCTTATTAATGACTAAAAATATAGACGAAAGCGCTCGAACATATAATATTAATTTATATCCAGAAAAGAAGAAAATTATATGAACACAAGAAAAATTAAATGATAAAAAAAACTTAACCGCAGTACCTTGTCAGTCGTTTGTAATGAGTCTTGTATAAAAGAGGGATTGCTGCCCAACTACACACACACAGATATATATATATATATATATATATATATATATATATATATATTGTGTGTGAGAGAGAGAGAGAGAGAAACGGAGAGAGAGAGAGAGAGAGAGAAACCGGTTGATCCTCAAAGCTGATAAACAATGACGAGGAAATTAAACCTGCAGGTGATAAATTGCTTTCCTTGTAGCAAGTCAAATGACTTTCGTTAAAAACATAAGATTGATTTGCCGCTCGACAAGCATCTTCTTTCCTGTATGGGTGGGGCTAACGTAGTACCCTGACTTCTACCCCCCCACCACCGCCAGAGTTTATCTACCCATCATGCCTTGTAATTCCCTTTTACCTTTAATTAGTGAGCAGAGACTGTAACGGGGAAACACTCTACCTCTTCTGACTGCCGTGTCCCTTCAGGACGTAGGTGATCATGGCTCTCCATAATTTCCTGTCCTTCGTAGCTCTTAATAAAGTTTCTTTTAGCTATCTCACCTAAACCTTGTTCCGACATCAATTTACTCAAGCTTACTAAGTAGGATAGACGTTGTTTTCTTCTGTCTCACTTGCCTTCGATCTGTCTTGTGGGTATCAGATTTTCCAAGCCCTCTTTCCTCATTATGCACCCAAGAAATTTCAAGTGTCTCTTCCTGATGTTAAGTATAAGTCTCCTTTTTGTTTCTATTTTCTCTAAAACATCGTCGCTGCTCGCATATTCGGTCCCTGTGTGTGTGTGTGTGTGTGTGTGTGTGTGTGTGTGTGTGTGTGTGTGTGTGTGTACATATATATATATATGTAAAAAAGTGTAAATGTATATATATATATATGTGTGTGTGTATCCCCAGTATCCTTCTGTAGAACCACATTTCTGTCGTTTCAAATTTCTTCATCTTTAAGGAGATTGCCCAACATTCACTGTCATATAGGAGGACCGATATCACGTAACATTCGAGTACTCGTTTCCTTGTTTGAACGAAATTTTCCTGTTTCATAATATTTTGCTTAGCGTTTGGAAGGCATCTTTCGCTATTTCAATGTTTTAATGTATTTGGGTTTAGATATTATATTTTCTAAAGCAAAAAAAAAGATAAATAGGGTAATTTTTAAAATTCAAGTTTCTCCCAAGCCAGCCGAAATTTTGCACACTTCGAATCCGAATAGTTTTTGCACGCGCGCATACACACACACACACGAGTATATATATATATATATATATATATATGAATCAACTTTATCAATTCACATGCCCATCGGAAGACGAAACGCGTTGAGTAAGATAAGTTTTCCTATTGTCTTTATACACACTGTCCATTTACTGATATATTTTACTTATATCACACACACACACACACACACACACACACATATATATATATATATATATATATATATATATATATATATATATATATATATATATATATATATATAATTGTGTATTTGGGTAGCAATCCCTCTTTTATACAAGTTTATTCAAAAACGACTAAAAGGTACTGAGTTTAAATTATTTATTTTATTTTTTCTTGTGTTCTTATAATTTATATATATATATATATATATATATATATATATATATGTAAGTGGACATTGAAGTCAACGCAATATGTTTCATGCGTTTAACCATGAAACAGACTGTCACCTCTGGGCGCTGACTTCAATGTACACTTTATATTTACATACTTAAAAGTATATTTTATCATATATATATATATATATATATATATATATATATATATATATATATATGGTGCAGTAGCTAATTTGTCGTTATTTTGCGCATACGTGTTGTTTTTTTTTTATTTTGTCGGCTGCACTGTATAGTAGAATCAGTTGTGAGAAAAAAAAAGCACCATGACGCAATTCACTCCGTCAGAAATTTGGAAATGTCATGCAGTACTTCTTGGCATTCGTGCCGAAATCTCCAATACGAACATTTCAAAGTATCAATCTGAGGAGAGTGCAGATGTTTGGAAAGTGTTGGATGATATATTCAGTCAAAATCATGGTATTTGGATTGATCACTAGTGATGGCGACATTATGCCTCCATTCATCTTCCCACAGGGCCTCAGACTCATCACGGCGACCTACATCGTGCTTTATGGAGTTAGTGATGGACTGGGTTAATAGCGTGGCTGCTGGAAAATCCTATGTCTGGCAACAGGACACTGCGGCATGCACCACAAGTAGGAAAACCCAGTCATGGTTATCAGACAATTTCTGTGACCGCATCACCCCTTAAATCTGGGCACCTATCTCCCCAGACTGCAACCAATGGGATTGTTATATGTGGAGCGCAGTTGAGCAAGAGCTCAACAAAACTCCTTGTAACACTAAAGATGAACTGAAGGCAAGGATTATGGTAGCATTCACCAACTTGAACAAGGAGTACATCCAGAAGAGTTGTAGGAGATTCCGAAATCGTCTGGAGGTTGAAGCCAATGTCGATTTTATTGGATAAATTTACTCTTTAGTATTTCAATTTATTTTTGTGCAATTTTGGTAAATATATCTGTTAAAATGAGATGTCAATGTTATTTTCATTTTTACGTAATATAGACGACAATTTATCCATCGTATGCACTATATATATATATATATATATATATATATATATATATATATAACTTAAAGAAAAACAGACCAATTTAAGGTTGCATTGTTATAATTTATTTCACTAGAGAGTTTCTTTTTCCCTGGATCATCAGGCCTCACTTCCAAGGATGAAAAAATGAATTTAAACTTACATTTTTGAAGGGCAGTATTAAGCTTATGTAAGGTGATATAGAGAGTGGTGAGAGATAGTGTGGCAGACATGGTCGAAATTAGAGAGGGAAGGGAGAGATATGAATGCTTTTAAATTTATTTTTATTTTTATTACAATACTTAATAGTGAGTTTTAATAGTGATATATATATACATATATATATATATATATATATGAGAAAATGATATATACATTTTATATAATGAGATGGATTAAAGTTCGACAGTTATTTTTTAGATACAATTTATTTAATTAAATGCTCTGTTTTTTAATTAAATAGTTTTAATTTCCTTTATCGGCCTGAATGTTTGAGAAACATTTGATCTGATGTGCTTCATAATTTAGCAGCAGAGAAGCGTCTGGTTAGTCATGTAGAAGAGACCATGACTTACCTCGTGTGGCAAAGTGAGCTCGTATAAACGAGTGAAGGAAAGGAAAACCAAACATAGCCGCCCTGACAACTTAATTTAAGGAAGACACAGTCTCGAAACTAGGAGAATTGGCGTGAGTGTTTGGGTGTATGCAAATATTTTGCGAGATCAGCTCGGTATAAAAACACCACGCAAGAGAGAATAGACGGTTCACTTGTTAACATGGTGCTGCTTGTACGGAGAGACTTTGTCAATTGGAAAGAGCTTACTTGGGTAAGATTCAAACAAACCAAGTTCAAATTACTGTTTATAAACACACAGTCTTCGACGATTTTTTCGGAGAAAGCATATTTTCTATGAAATTTCTCGAACAATCAGGCCAGTAAATGTAATTAATATTGTATAATTAAAAATAGTGCATTTACTTAAATAAATTGTCTCTATAAAAATAACGTATAAAAATATATAGAAAATATATACATTTTTATATGTCATTCGCAGACAGTACTGTTTCGCTGCATCATAGCTCCTCAGTGTGACTAGACAACCGAATGCCTCAAGCCCGGATCGAAACCCAACCGATCTATTACAAAGTGAAAAAAAGTTTCGTTGTAAAATCCTAAAGAAGCAAACGTCTCGCACAAAAACTTGTTTTCATTTTGTCAACAGTCATTAGACAATTTATTATTGAAGATATAAAAAAATTGAGCACATGATTGCGCTAAGGGTAGTTTTCTTCAGCAACGTAAATTGCGACAAAACCCAAACCTAATAATACGAGTCATGTCTTTAAATAGCCTGGCTTACGGCCACATCACTTTAAAAGACCGGTTCCACCGAAGTTAAGCAAAGTCGAGCCTGGTCAGTACCTAGATGAGTGACCGCTTGGGAATCCCTAGTGCCGTAAGTTTGGGTGTGCGGGTGAAATAGCTTATGGCCATATCACGCTGAAACACTGTTTTCTCGTACAATGACCGAAGTTAAGCAACGTCGAGCCTTGTCAGTACCTAGATGAGTGACCGCTTGGGAATCATAATTGCCCTAAGTTTGGATGTGCGGGTGGAATGGCTTATGGCCATATCACGCTGAAACACTAGTTCTCGTACAATGACCGAAGTTAAGCAACGTCCAGCCTGATCAGTACCTAGATGGGTGACGTACCGTAAGCTTGGATGTGCGGGTGGAATGGCTTATGGTCATATCATGCTGAAACACTGGTTCTCGTACAATAACCGAAGTTAAGCAAAGTCGAGCCTGGTCAGTACCTAGATGGGTGACCGTTTGGGAATCTCAAGGGGCCGTAAGCTAGCATGTGCGGCTGAAATGGCTTATGGCCATATGATGCTGAAACATTGGTTATCGTACAATGACCGAAGTTAAGCAATGTCGAGACTTGTCAATACTCACATGGGTGACCGCTTGGTAATCCTAAGTTCTGTAAGCTTGAATGAGCGAATGGAATTGCTTCTGTCATTCTTTTCTTTCTTAAATTCTTTATCCTTATTTTTCTATTTTTGATTTTTCCTTTCTGATGCGTTCTTTCTTTCTTTCTTTCTTTCTTTCTTTCTTTCTTTTGATTTCTTTCAGTCTTTCTTTTTTAAATCCTTCACTTTTCTTTCTTTCTTTTCTTTCCTTTCTTTTCTTTCTTTCTTTCCCTTTTCTCTTTGATTTTCACTTTCAGTCTCTTCTTTTTAAATCCTTCACTTTTCTTTCTTTCTTTCTTTCTTTCTTTCTTTCTTTCTTTCTTTCTTTCTTTCTTTCTTTCCCCTTTTCTCTTTGATTTCCACTTTCAGTCTCTTCTTTTTAAATCCTTCACTTTTCTTTCTTTCTTTCTTTCTTTCTTTCTTTCTTTCTTTCTTTCCCCTTTTCTCTTTGATTTCCACTTTCAGTCTCTTCTTTTTAAATCCTTCACTTTTCTTTCTTTCTTTCTTTCTTTCTTTCTTTCTTTCTTTCTTTCTTTCTTTTTTTTTTTCTCTTTGATTTCCACTTTCAGTCTTTCAAATCTTCTTTTCTTTTTTCTTTCTTTCCTTTTTCACTTTTCTTTTTGATTTCTTTCAGTCTTTCTTTTTTAAATGCATTTTTCTTTCTTTCTTTCTTTCTTTCTTTCTTCCTTTCTTTCTTTTTTCCCCTTTTCTCTTTGATTTCCACTTTCAGTCTCTTCTTTTTAAATCCTTCACTTTTCTTTCTTTCTTTTCTTTTTTTTTTTTCTTTCTTTCTTTCTTTCTTTCCCTTTTCTCTTTCTTTTCTTTCTTTCTTTTTTTAAATCCTTTTTTTCTTTTTTCTTTCTTTCTTTCTTTCAGTCTTTTTTCTTTTTTTTTCTTTCCCTTTTCTCCTTTCAGTCTTTTCTTTTAAATCCTTTCCTTTCTTTCTTTTCTTTCTTTCTTTTTCTTTCTTTCCCTTTTCTCTTTGATTTCCACTTTCAGTCTCTTCTTTTTAAATCCTTCACTTTTCTTTTTCTTTCTTTCTTTCTTTCTTTCTTTCTTTCTTTCTTTTCTTTCTTTCTTTCTTTTCTCTTTCCCCTTTTCTTTTGATTTCCACTTTCAGTCTCTTCTTTTTTAAATCCTTCACTTTTCTTTCTTTTTCTTTCTTTCTTTCTTTCTTTCTTTCTTTCTTTCTTTCTTTTTCTTTCCCTTTTCTCTTTGATTTCCACTTTCAGTCTCTTCTTTTTAAATCCTTCACTTTTCTTTCTTTCTTTCTTTCTTTCTTTCTTTCTTTCTTTCTTTCTTTCTTTCCCCTTTTCTCTTTGATTTCCACTTTCAGTCTCTTCTTTTTAAATCCTTCACTTTTCTTTCTTTCTTTCTTTCTTTCTTTCTTTCTTTCTTTCTTTCTTTTTCTTTCTTTCCCCTTTCCCCCTTTTTTGATTTCCACTTTCAGTCTCTTCTTTTTTTAAATCCTTCACTTTTCTTTCTTTCTTTCTTTCTTTCTTTTCTTTCTTTCTTTCTTTCCTTTCCTTCGACTCTCTTTTTTTGTTTTTTCTTTCATTTTTTCCTTTTATCTTATCTTCTCACTTTATTACTCCTGAACGCTTTTCTTCGACTTCCTCTCAAATTCTTCTCCTCCTCCTTCTTAACTCTTTCTGTCTTTCTCATTCAGTTTCTCTCCTTTTGCCGCCTCATCTTCCCCACCCATTCACCTCCATCTTCTTCGACCGCTTACTTATCTCTCCATTTACTTAAGATTTTCTCTCTATTTTCTGCTGTTTTTATTTACACATTTAATTTTTTGTTGTGACATTCGTTTTCTGTTTTTTTCTTCTTCTCTCTATTCGCGATCTGCGGCTCTCCCCACCATCTACCTGATCTCTTTTGCCTTCAAAACTTTTAATTGTTTTTCTCAGGTTTTCCCTTTCAATATATCGATTTATTCCAGTCATTTCTCTTACACACTATCTTCATCGTCAACACCACTACCATCATCATCGCCATTGCCATCATCATTGTCATCACCGTAATCATTGCCATCATCATCGTCACCACCATCGTCGTCAACATCATCATCATCATCATCATCTTTTCATAATATTCTTCGTCGTTTTCTTCCTTCACTTCTTTTTCATTTTCTTCCTTTTCTTCTTATTTTTTTTATTTTTTCGGAATATTCCCCTCCTTTTCTATCCTTTTCTTCTTCCTCCATCACCATATTCTTTTTTTCTTTCTTCTTCTTCTTCTTCTTCTTCTTCTTTTCTCAATATTAATGTTGTTCTTGTTGTTCTTGTTCTTATTTTCTTCAAGGTTTTCTTTCATAATCTTCCCTTCTTCTTCTTCTTCTTCTTCTTCTTTTTTCTTTTTCTTCTTTACCATATTCTTATTATTCTTCCTTTATTCCCCATATTCTTCTTATTGTTTTTTCTTCATTTTTCACCATATTCTCCCTCTTCCTCCATCCTATTCGCCTTCCTTCTTCACCGCATTCTTGTTCTTTTTTCATATTCTTCTTCTTCTTCTTCCTTAGCTCATTGTTGTTGTTGTTGTTGTTGTTGTTGTTCTTCTTCTTCTTCTTCTTCTTCTTCTTCTTCTTCTTCTTCTTCTTCTCAAGTTATTCGCAATCTTTCTTTCTTCTTATTATTGTTTTCTCCTTCATATCTTCTTCTATCTTTTCTTACCATCTTCTTCTTCTTCTTCTTCTTCTTCTTCTTCTTCTTCTTCTTCTTCTTCAAATCCGCCCAACCAGTCACCCTAATTTCAGACGACCTACGGGGTGGCCCGCCAAATCTAGAGAAATCCGAACGGTGATGACTCCCTTTCGTACATATCAACATTTCGCATCTCCTTTTAATGGCAAGAATGCGTCGAGCCATTTACAAGATAAATAAACGAAGATGCCAAATGCTGAACGGCGGAAAAAGCGGGGATAACTGTGTCGAGAAATAGACAGCAGGGGTGGCGTGGCGAGAGAACCAGGGTGGGAGATATAACTGAAAATATTCGCTTTCCAACTACCTCAAATCGTTTAACAAGTAATTGTATTCTAATCTAAACGCACACGAGTGGGTGAGACGGTAATATTTCTGAACTTCACTGACAGTTTCGACTACGGTGGCATAGAGAGATCGATCCTCACTGGGTACACTATTATTGTGGCTTTCTGTAATGATAAGAGTACCATGGACAGAACATGTGAGAAACGAAAAAGTTTTGAGGAGTATAAGAAATACAATGAAAATGCTGTTCACAAAAAAGACAGAAAGAGATAGCTTAAAGTTAACTAACAGAATAGTTTGATAGCAGACAACGGAGGCAGAATGCAGACGTATGACAGAAATCGGGATGCGCGTAGATATAACGAAAGATGACTTTCAGAAATTAAGCTAAAGTTGACTCCCAGAAGCTAAACGAATGTTGCTTTTCAGAAACTAAGCGAAAGTTGCCATTCAGAAATTAAACGAAATTGACTTTCAGAAACTAAGCGAAAGATGTCTTTCAGAAATTAAGGGAAGGAAGCCTTTCAGAAACTCTCATGATGAACATTCGTACTCCGAAGAAAACTTCTTGCTTTGAAAGTCTTCTTAAAAGTCTTGGGATTAAGGTTCAGCACAGACGTGGAAGTCACATATACGATCTATTGCTGAAAACGCTGGAAAAATGTTTGGTTCGTTGTAACAGTCCACTAAGTACCTGATTCCACACCTGCCATGCTCTATTTTTACAAGAGTCAGATTTGACTAAAAATGGAGTATTGTTGCTATATCTGGCCTGGAGATGTTTCGGGTCATTCTATCGCTCCAGAAAGTACTTGACACCTTCTGTCATGCTTTAGCTTTACACGAGTCAGATTAAACCCAAAATAGAGTATTGCTGCTATAACTGGCCTGGGGTGGAGGTGGGGGGTTAGCTTATTCTATCGCTCCAAAAAGTACCTGACTCCTTCTGCCATGCTTTATCTTTACAAGAATCAGATTAGACCAAAAATATATCTGGGCTGGAGCTGTATCGGCTCAATCTATCGCTCCAGAAATTACCTGACTTCATTTGCCATGCTTTAACTTTACGAGAATCAGATTAGACCAAAAATGGAGTATTGCTGCCATATCTGGACTGGAACTGCATAACATCACTGAAGGCTGAAAACGTACTTAATACGTATGAATGTATCGATTATTTAAAATAACTTAACACCTCGATTTAACGGACCACAGTATTCAACAAAAAATGACGAACTGCTATGCAATATAGGCCTTCCTATATGGCAGTGAATGCTGGACAATTTCCTCAGAGATGAAGAAGAGTCTTGGGGCAACAGAGATGTGGTCCTACAGAAGGATTCTGAGAATACTGTGGACGAAGCAAGTGGATAAAACGGAAGTTTTAAGGGTAAATAGAAACAAAAAGGACACTTAAAATCAGAATAAAACACAGTTAAAATTTCTGGGGTTCATAATGAGGAAAGCGGGCCTGGAGAATTTGACACTCACAGGATATATTTAATGCAAGCATATACAGAGGGAAACGGCGAAAAAGCCACCTAACAAGCTTGTGTAAATGGATGGCTGAACAGGGTTTGGAATGGATAGTGAAAAGAGAAACATTGAACATAACATAGATAACTAAAATTATTATGATTACTTGCATTATTTCCATTATTCGGACTGTTATCCTCATCTTCAGTGACATATTCACAACGTTTCAGCCTCTAGATCTCTGAGATGAGGTATTATGATTACTTTCATTATTTACATTATTCGGACTGTTATCTTCATCTTCATTGCCATATTCGCAACTGAAATTCCTTGCACACATAATGATGTAGGAGGCCTTTGAAAATTTAACTCTCATGGGGCAGACTGAGGGCAAGAGAGGTAGCGTAAGGCTGCGAGCCACTTACGTGATGAACTTCTGAGAACAGTTAGCGGAACGTGGAGGGGAACCTTAGCACAGGGAGAAATAGTGCTAAGGTCCACAAAATATAGGGAGACTACTGTATTAACGTTTTAAGAATTTCCAATCAATGAGGATTCAGCAGCTCAAATTTTAGACCATCCAGACTCCCTGCACATATGATTTAATTATAGCGGAGGAGTATGATGAAAAACTAACCACTCTTTTTAGAAGAACGGAATACAAAGAACTGGTGCACTAAATGTGCCACAAGTTCTCCAAATGACATTCCGAATCTGCGGAATGAAGAGCTGTCCTATTCCTAGACTGGTAACTAACCCAGTCGGCCCTATTATTTAACCAAAGCTAGAGAGAGATTAAGGTATCTGCGTATCAATTTATTGTAACGAAGTCGTTGGAATAGTATATATATATATATATATATATATATATTCATGGTTCAATGCATAAATTGTCGTCTAAATTAGGTAAAAATTAAAATAACACTGACACCTCATTTTAACAGTTATATTTACCAAAATTACACAAAAATATCTTGAAATACTAAAGAAAGAATACTAGGGAAGATGTAGCCATCACGCCAAAAAGGACCCGCTGGAACTAGGCAGTCGTCTCTCGTTCAGCGTAGTCGTCTCGCGTACAGGACAGTCGTTTCTCGTTCAGCGTAGTCGTCTCTCGTACAGGGCAGTCGTCTCTCGTTCAGCGCAGTCGTCTCTCGTACAGGGCAGTCGTCTCTCGTACAGGACAGTAGTCTCTCGTTCAGCGCAGTCGTCTCGTACAGCGTGTGGAATAATGTATTATTCCATCTACGACATTTTACGCGCGCGCGAGTTTCCTCCCCTTCTTCCACGCTTGTGCGCGCGCGCGTTTGACACCCCTTTCTGTCTCTTTTTAGTCTAATACAGTAGTAACTGTTTTTGGTCACCAGCCAACGACTTGCTATGCAAATTAGATTTTGAAATCTTGCCGCGAAAAATTTGTGACGTCAACGACAAACTGTTGTTTCAAAAAGTCAGTTGGTGTTCCAGACTCGGACCTGGGCAGACTCATTTTTATCCATGTCAAAATTTCAGGTTGACTGGCGAAGGAAATAATACTATGCGACCACAAATAATTAATTCTCGTCCCTTTCGGCTCGTCATTCAAAAAAAATTCTCGATGATGCATATACCAAATAATTACTTTTCGGCCCTTTGAGACTAGTCATTTCAAAGTTCTACTCCGAGACGATGCAGAACATACAAAATAACAATCCGTCGTCCACTTTGGGTCTCGTCAGAAATCTGTTTTGAACCAGTACAAAAAAAAAAAATATGTACATAACAATAACATTCACTACATTACCTAAAAACTCGCAGTGAGTATTTTTCCTTGTATGAATATTATCATGTACATTGACTTATCTGGCATCTCCTTCTTCTTCAAGAAACTTCCCGCCTTTTAGCCATCTTGTTTTCATTTTGGCGCGGAACTTTTTCATTGGTCCCTACCAACAAATTACTTGTTTTTTTCCTGCATTTAATAAAAATTACTCTTGTTGAAACCCAGTCTTTTCAGTCATTCCGAGGAGGCTATCTTGTTAATATATTTTTATTCATGCACGTGTGATTAACCACATTTCGTTGTTCATCCACGCACATTTTTATATCTTTTACTTTGCTTGTAGACTCGGTAGTTTAGTGTGGTGTCTCTGGCACAAGGCCACTCAGTATAATCCAGCACTGCACCCTACCGGGTCCGCAACAAGATTGGTGACCTTTACGACGTGATACGAACACGTAATAATTTTGCAACCTTGCCAACATATTTCTGAGCAAGCTTTAAATATAAACGTGCATAAATTCGATAGCCGGAATGACGTCTAGTGACTCTGAAGAGTCGGCGAACATGTCCGCCGCCGTCGCTCCTTTCCCCCCTTTCATGAAGGGAATATAAAGAACTGGTTCTTACAAATGGAAGCCATTTTCACAGTCAGAAGGATTACAGACCAAAAGACCAAGTTTGGCCTGGTGGCGGTTTTGCCACCGCCATTGTCGATGAGGTCTCAGACTTCCTAGAAGCCGTTCCTGAAGTAGAACCCTACGCGCGGTTAAAAGAAGCAATCTTAAGGAGAATGGGCCGTACAGAGGAGTCATTAATCCGGGAACTATTTAGCAACCTAACTTGTGATGGCAGGACTCCCTCCCCAACTTCTTCGTTATATGAAAAGCCGACTCGGCAAAAATACCATGGCTGACTCTATATTAAAAAGCTTGTGGCTGGACCGTCTCCCCACCACCATAACCCAAATTTTGGCGCCAATGTCCGAAAACACCTCGATCGATCAATTAGCGGACGCCGCGGATCGTATTTTCTCGCAACTGGATAATCAGACAACGCCGGTACACAGTGCTGAAGCGACTGGAGACCACAGGTCCTCCCGAAAAAACAGTCGAGGAATTGCAGCGCCAAGTTAAGGATTTAACATTAGCTCTAAAGAGCCGTGGTCGAAGCCGGTTCCCTTCCCGCCGGCGCTTCAGAAGTCGACCACGCTCGTCCAGCCGAGATAAGGATGCCACCCTACTATGTGTTACTACCACCGAAGATTTGGGTCTAAAGCTTATTACTGCATCAAGCCGTGTACTTATACTGCGGTCGCGGAAAACAAAACCGCCAGCGAGTGAAAGCGACTAATCTCGCTGGCAAGGCATTTTCACCAAAACTTAGTCGCCTTTTTTATGTGACGGACACGCGTAATAATTTACGTTTTTGGTGATACCGGCGCTGCCATTAGTGTCTTACCCGTGCGTGATAAAGCTCGTCAACAACCTTTTCAGCTCCGCTTACAAGCAGCAAATGGTTCCAGATTAATACTACGGTACGAAGTCCCTTGCCCTAAACATAGGGATGCGACGAGACTTTACTTGGAATTTTACTGTTGCTGACGTCAAGATGCCGATATTAGGTGCAGATTTCCTGGCGCACTATGATCTCGCCGTGCGAATGAACAACCATTCCCTGACTGACAACAACAAGACTGTGTGTTCTTGGCACTTATTCTAAACTTACCACCACTGGCATCACCGTGGCAACGTGCCACAATAAAGAGTACTTAGACTTATTGAATCAGTACCAGGACCTCCTGCGTCCTGCTGGATCTATTGATTCAACTAAACATCAAACACAGCACTTTATTAAGACCACTGGTCAACCTGTTTTTCCCGTCCTCGTCGTCTAGCACCTAACAAATTAAAATTCGCAAAGAAAGCTTTCGACGACATGTTACGAGAGGGTGTTATTCGTCCGTCCGACAGTCCTTACGCTTCCCTCTCCATTTAGTACCTAAACCAGGAAAGGAGGACTATAGAATTTGTGTGGATTATAGAAGATTGAATTCCATCACCGTCCGGGATCGTTATCCAATCCCCCCACCTCCACGATTTCACTTCTGGTTTACAAGGCGCAAAAGATTTTTACTAAAATAGATCTAGCAAAAAGCATATTATCAGGTGCCAGTAGCTGCTGCTGATGTCCCAAAACTGCTGTTACTACACCTTTCGGTCTATTTGAATTTTTGAAAATGCCTTTCGGCCTTGCAACGCAGCACAGACATTCCAACGTCTTATGGACGAGGTTCTGCGTGGACTCCCTTTTTGTTTTCGATTACATTGACGACATTCTGATAGCTATGAGGACGCTGCCTGCATAAACAACACCTACACGAAGTTCTTCAACGTTTGTCCCATTACGGATTTCGTCTAAAACCTGGACAAATGTGTCTTCGGATCAGACCATATAGAATTTTTAGGACATCACGTCGATGCAAATGGAATTGCCCTTTAACTGAAAAGATTAAAGCTATCACTGAGTTTCCTGTCCCTGTTTCTATTAAACAGTTGAGACGCTTTATAGGGATGATCAACTTTTACAGGAGGTTTATTCCAAACTGTTCTAACATCCTGACTCCCCTTACCAATTTATTACAGAAGAAGAAGAATAAGACTATTATACTTGAGAATGAAGTTTTGACGCCTTTCGAGCAGCTAAACCGCTCTAGGCAATTTTTCTAAGCTTAGTTTCTTAGAGGACGACCTCAATCGGATATCTACCTGACCACTGACGCTAGCGAAACAGCAATAGGCGCGGTCATTGAACAAGTCACCCTTCTCAACGTAGACCTATAGCGTTCTTTTTCCGCTAAACTTTCTCCTGCCCAGTCGCTACAGTACCTTTTCTCGTGAACTGTTGGCTATTTCGTGCCATTAAGCATTTCAGACACCTCCTCGAAGGTAGGTCCTTCTTATATTTACGGACCACAAAACCTTTAACGTCCGTTATGTCCACTAATTCGGACAAATACACTGCGAGGGAGATCAGATACCTGGACTATATATCGCAATTTACTACTGATATTAGGGTACATTAAGGGTTCGATAACACTGTCGCCGATACCCTATCTCGTACTGAAATGTTTGTCGTGCATACTGATGCACTCAGTCAAGATTTGATCGCCGACGAACAGGAAGCGGACATAACTCTGAAGCATGTGTTATCAGACACTTTTTAGAACTTCAGAAATGTCGGCTCCTTTAGTAACAAGGTCTTATACTGTGATGTAAAAATCCAAATCTCCAAGACCTTATGTTCCTCCGTCTCTTCGTAGACAGGTTTTTGACCACCTACACGGACTCTCACCCTAGCAAAGAGCCACAGTTAAGTTAATTTCGGACCGTTTCGTTTGGCCGAATATGAACGTTCACATTCGCGAATGGGTTAATACTTGTTTACAATGTCAGAAGTGGTGCATAGACACACAAAATCTCCTGTACACTTTCAGCGAGCCTGATGCTCGTTTTTACTAATATACACCTGGACTTAGTTGGGCCCCTACCAACCTGCCATGGTTATTCCTACCTTCTAACTATAGTGGATCGTTTTTCCTGATGGCCTACTGCCATCCCTGTCAAAGAAGATACCACTGCTGTGGCTGTCGCAAAAAGCTCTGGATTTCGATTTTGGGACTCTAAAGGTGGTTACTACAGATGAGAGACAGTTCCAGTCGTGTCTTTTCAGGGAATTCACTGAACTCCTTGGTGCAAAGCATATACGTACTACAGCGTATCACCCTGCGCTAATGGGCTGGTGGAACGATTCCATCGCACCCCTAAGGCTTCGCTATCAACGAAGCATGAGAATAATAATTGGGTCGATGAATTACCCCTCATCCTTTTATCGTTAAGAAATATTCTTATGGGGATGACTTGAAATGCTCCCCCTGCAGAGCTTGTATTTGGTACTTCGTTATCTTTACCTGGCCAATATTTTTCACCAGCTGTGACCACACCACCAGTTTCTTCCTCTTTTTATTCAGGACTTACGCCTTAAAATGGCAAACTTATGCTATACACCACCGCGGCACTGCCTGAGTGATATCTATCTACCGCACCAGCTCAAGGACTGCGAATTTGTATTTTGTACGTAATGACTTGTTAAGCGGCCTCTTACGCCGGCCAACATAGGCCCATACCGCGTTCTTAAACGCGCGGACAAATATTTCCAAATACAAAAAGGTATTCACACCGACAACGTTTCAATAGATCGGTTGAAACCTGCCTTTATAGAAAACCGTCGTCTCATACTACTTCCCAATCAACTCCGCAAGTTCAGGAGAATTTCAAGACACCTGTCTCTCTCGACAAACCTAAGTATACCAGCTCCGGTCGAAAAGTCACCTTCCAAAGAAATTTGAAACATTCTACTATTATTAGTCAAATGTCTGCGACATTTGATCCAGGAGGAGGGCTGTGTGGAATAATGTATTATTCCATCTACGACATTTTACGCGCGCGCGAGTTTCCCCCTTCTTCCACGCTTTGTGCGCGCGCGTTTGACACCCCCTTTCTGTCTCTTTTTTAGTCTAATACAGTAGTAACTGTTTTTGGTCACCAGCCAAGCGACTTGCTATGCAAATTAGATTTTTGAAATCTTGCCGCGAAAAAATTTGTGACGTCAACGACAAACTGTTGTTTCAAAAGTCAGTTGGTGTTCCAGACTCGGACCTGGGCAGACTCATTTTTATCCATGTCAAAATTTCAGGTTGACTGGCGAAGGAAATAATACTATGCGACCACAAATAATTAATTCCTCGTCCCTTTCGGCTCGTCATTCAAAAATCCTTCTACGAGATGATGCATATACCAAATAATTACTTTTCGGCCCTTTTGAGACTAGTCATTCAAAGTTCTACTCGAGACGATGCAGAACATACAAAATAACAATCCGTCGTCCACTTTTGGGTCTCGTCAGAAATCTGTTTTGAACCAGTACAAAAAAAAAAAAAAAAATATGTACATAACAATAACATTCACTCACATTACCTAAAAACTCGCAGTGAGTATTTTTCCTTGTATGAATATTATCATGTACATTGACTTATCTGGCATCTCCTTCTTCTTCAAGAAACTTCCTGCCTTTAGCCATCTTGTTTTCTATTTTGGCGCGGAACTTTTTTCATTGGTCCCTACCACGGGACAAATTACTTGTTTTTCCTGCATTTAATAAAAATTGCTCTTGTTGAAACCCAGTCTTTTTCAGTCATTCCGAGGAGGCTATCTTGTTAATATATTTTAATTGATGCACGTGTGGATTAACCCACATTTCTTCGTTGTTCATCCACGCACATTTTTATCTTTTTACTTTGCTTGTAGACTCGGTAGTTTAGTGTGGTGTCTGGCACAAGGCCACTCAGTATAATCCAGCACTGCACCCTACCGGGTCCGCAACAAGCGCAGTCGTCTCTCGTACAAGGCAGTCGTCTCTCGTACGGGGCAGTCGTCTCTCGGCGTCCTCGTCAGTTCCCTCCGCCCCCACTACCAAAACCTTACTCAGAGACACTCATTTTATAGACCATGACGAAGCAGCCCACTTGTTGAGCGGGAGAGTTTTACATATGCGTAGGCGCAGTCCGTTAATTTTCTTTTCTTTTAATTGCTCTGTGACACCACACGCATGCAATGCGTGGGCGTTTTCGGGCATGATGTCGCGTATCTTGCTCACGACAATCACAGAAGGGACCAGATTAAGCACGATCTGGCGGGTAGGCGGTCAAGCCGACGTTTTACAGTGATTTTCTAAGCGTAGCTTAGATGTGACACAAAGCCGAAATTATGGGGCACTTTGTTAGAGTTGAACTCATTTTTCAGTCGTCACTGATCTAGCGAGACAAGCTTGCCAATCATTATCCCACGCCGAGGTGCTCAAAGGCGGCGTTCTACATACGAGAACAAGTCGGCAGACCAATGCAAACTTATCACAAACCTGCCAGTGAATCCTAGGTTTTACCGCAGCGGATGGTGTCAACTGAAGCGTGTGTGTGTGTGCCATGGAGTGGCGACCCATGGACTACATCACACAATTCACTGCCAAGTCTTTTATGCTCAAAGGCTTTTCTTCTTCTCACTTCTAAAGAACCAATTTCAGAAGAGCAGTCCACGAAAAAACATCTTTGGAAAACACCAGAAGTCAAATAGGAGAGACGAAAAGCCTGAGATCTCTATCCTCTGAATTCTTCCACACTACCGTGTGGTGGCTGCAAACATCTCTTCAGATCGAGCATAGAAGGAAATGTTGATGTTCACCCCAATACTTGGCAACGAGTTCCGCCAACGGCGACGAATGGTATTTATAATGTTAACCATTTCCCTTCAAGGAAATATGTGGCATTCTGTTGTGGTACGATCCACCTAATTTACATAGTGGAGTACCGACCATATAAATATGGTTGGTATCGGGAAGACGAGGGGAGGAAGGAAGAAGAGATCCAATCCAGAGACTCTGCCCGACTGCGATTAAGTCAACCCATTCTACAGGAACGGTCTTCCCAAGAATATACCAAACTATCTGTAAATATTGTGTACACGTTCTTGTGTCAATACATTTTGTTTAAGTACATTTTGTGTTGTATTATTATTATTCCATGCTTTATTCAAGTTTCAACACATTCATTTACCGAACAGACAGTGTGACTGACGGTTGAAATTTATAAATAGTCTCTTTTAAAACAGTTTTCCAGGAAAACAGGTTTCCCAGTTCCAGTAGCTGTTATCGGTCTTTCCAGTATTTATGGGGGTTTCTTTCCTAACCTTTTGTTTGAAGTAGTGTGGAATGTCAACATCTTGATTATGTTGTTATTTTCTCTTCGAGTTACATGTGCTATGCATTTTAGTTGTTGCTGCTGTTGATAGCCTTCAAGTCATCTGGTTTCTATTATTTGCTATAGTTCATTGCCTGTGATTCTTTAGCGCCAGTTCTTAATGTGGACTTTGTCAAGACCCACAGGCTTCATTCTCTAAGTTAATTGCAAAAATAAAAAAACCTAGTTTATTCATGTAGAAAGCATAAAAAATGCAATTGCAAAATTATTTATGAAATGGACAAATTCCGACAATTATTTTAATATATTTTATTGTAATACGTTATTTATAGGGACACAAATATTTAAGTTGGAGGACGTTCTATGAAGTTTCTCAGATATCCAGGCCGGTAAATGTTGTTAATACTGTTTATTATAAAGAGAGTATTTACTTAAATATTTGTGTATTTATAAATAACGTATAAGAATAAAATATATTAAAATAATTGTCAGACTTTGTCCATTTCGTAGTGTGTGACGTCATTAGTTTACGTTAAGATACGCTTCGAGCAGATATGGACGTTCGAGGGAAATCATGGAGAGTTTGTAGTTTAAAAGCAGTAAAATCGACCTTGCTAACCAGATGCTATTTCGTAGCTAAACTGGTATACCAACCAACCAACTAACTCGTTTGATATTTTTAATTATAATGATTTATAAAGCGAAATTCTTTCTTATAAACAAGAACAGAGTTTATTGTAGAGATGAAAAATCCTAGATTACTCCAGAAGAAAATATAACCATTTGAATTAAAAAAAATTAATTATGCCCAGCATTATTGGGCGGCCAGCATTATTAAACGGCATTATTGGACGGCAGCATTATTGGACGGCATTATTGAACGACCAGCATTATTGAGCGGCACTGGTAAACTAGATTTCTATAAGAGTGCTTTCGGCAGCCATGGATCTTCGTACTCGAAAAGAATTTTTTTTCCAATGAGACCACTTTTATTTTAACTACATTCCATCTTAGACAATGTTTGTTGCTTTAAAAAGCGATGGTTAGAATTGTAAAAAATTCTAAACATATGAAAGAGAATTTATAAATTTTCTTTGTTGTTGAGAATTGACAACAAAAATAATAAACACTATTTAATTATTAGATTTCTTCATTGACATTATCTATTATATTGTTTATTGGCATGGTCGACAAAATATCGGTTAATTGCTAATCGATTCGAACTTTATAAAATGGTAAATAATAAGGATCCATCTTTCGATTATTCTTTTTAGCTATTATCAATACATAAAAATCTGCACATTCAGTTAGAATTTTTAAAAATATCATACTTGATAATGACTAAAAGAATAGCCGAAAGCCTTCGGACATACAAAACATTCGGACAAACTTTACACACCATACCGTCCTGGGTATGACGATAAACTACATCCGCGTCCTGGGTAAGATGATAAACTACGTCCAACAGCAAGGCCTCTGGTCAGTAGGTTTTGAGGAGCGTGGAACCACCTCTTAATTGCTGGTGTTCCCAGGTCCACCCTGACCCGGCCTGGTAGCACCTGTTAGGGTCCCAGATATGGGAAAATAGCTAACCCCCAAACTCGGATCAGAACACCATGAAAGTGTAAAAATAGATTTTAATTCCAGAAATACTTTGCATAAAAAAATTATTACCAGCAATAAATTTTTCGAAAAAAAAGAAAATTATTACCAGCGAAGGGAAAATATTACCAGAAATAGATTTGATTTTTGAAGGAAAAAAATATTACCAGAAATAGATTTTTGGAAAAAAATATTACCAACAATGAAAATTTTCGGCATTAAATAACCCATTGAGGTTGATATGCCGTAAAACAAAACAAAACAAATTTACACACCATAGGCCCAGAAAAGAAAAAAGACTTATACGAACACAAGTCAAATTAAATAAAGAGCTTAAACGCAGTAACTTGTTAGTCATGTTTAATGGAACTTGTATAAAATTTCTAACGTGCTAGAAAGGATTAAAAAAGTTAATAAAATAATTCAAATATATATTAGTTTTTCCTCTTAATACTAACAAACATTTTGACGATAAAACATTGTTTTTATCAAGTGTAGGGACTTTTGTCATGATAAGCTCTTTTTTTAGAAAATATTTCGAAGTAATTATAATCACGACATAAACTTTATCCGACGACGTTCCTAATAAATGATATTTCGGCAATATTTAACCTTCGTGCCCTCAAAAAACCCTGGCGTGTCAAAAGCATCGCTATTCCCTTGACACCGCTGTTATTTTAAAGACCATCACTTTACGGCCGTTTTTATTGTTTTTAAAAGTGATGATTAGAATTTTAAAACTTAAAGATATAAAAAGTTAATTTATACATTTTCTTAGTTCTTGAGAATTGACAACAAAAATAATAAACACTATTTATTTATTAGATTGTTTATTGGAATAGTTTGAAAAATATCATCTAATTGCCAATCGATTAGAACTTTATGAAATGGTAAATAATAAGGATTTCATTATAGCTGGTCCACATATTTTAATAATTTGGTAAATGTTTATATATATGTTTTCATATCTATTTCTTTATAAACTGGTAAATATTGATTTGCATTAGTTTTGATTTTATTAGTTTTTAGAATGTTCTACTTCTAAAATTATTCTTGTATATAAACAATCTAATGAATAAATAGTGTTTAATATTTTTGTTGTAAATTCTCAAGAACAAAAAAATATATAAATTCACTTTTATCATATGATTAGGTTTTAATGCAATTTTAATAATCGCTTTAAAAAAAAATAAACATTGCCGAGGAGCGAAGGTAGTTAAAATAAATGGGAAAAAAAACATCCTTTTTACACTCCGTTTTTTTTTTTAGGCACGTTAGTCCATGTCTGCCGTGCTTTCTTTCATTTTTCTACGTAATTCTCTGCAACAGGAAATTTATACATTGATTACTTTGAACTATTATCATCATTGTTTGTGGATAGGGATTATATTAAAGACGTTTCAAAAACTCTCTTCATTGAAAACAGGGAAAAAATTTAAATGAACACAACTGTTTATTGACCCACCTATGATACACTTATTTCTTCGTCCATTTCTTTGTTTATTTTGCTGACAACCATACATCCAGCCCAACATGCGAATTACACACTAAAGAACTAGTTAGAAAATGACACTGAAATCCGAAGAGGATTTGGAATATCAAATGATGTTTTCTAAAAGCTGAGCAAGGAGCCCGGAATGTGAATAAAAATGTATTAGAAACATAGAAAAGAGTATTTGATTGCTATTTATCCATCCTCCTATATGGCAGTGAATGCTGGACAATCTCCCCACGTTTGAGAAGAAAACTGGAGGCAATAGAAATGTGGTCTTACAGAAAGATACTGACAATTCCATGGACAGATGTCTTAAAAAAAATGGTAAAGGAATATTTTTGAATGTTTGATTGCTATGTGTTATCCATCCACCTATATGGCAGTGAATGCTGGACAATCTTTCCACGTTTGAGGAGAAAACTGGAGGCAACCGTTGCAGGTTAGCTAAAGCCAGGAAATATTTTTAGATTAAAAGAATTTTTTTAAATAATGATGATTTAGTGATACAAGTTTTACTAATTAACCCATAGCTGAGGGGAGAACAGGTGGATTTATTATTTATTTGCGCGTGTGAATATGAGGAACCTAACGGGAATTGGAAATCTACTCTCCAATTAACAATTCCGAGCCTTTATCCGTTACATCACCCACACATTCAAGCTTACAGCACTTGGTATTCCCAAGCGGTCACCCATCTAGGTATTGACCAGGCTCGACTTTGCTTAACTTCGGTGATCGTACAGGAAGCGGTGTTTCAACGTGCCACTCCATTTTTGTTAACGCTGAGTTGTAACTACTGGAAATTCCATACATGGAACGACGTCGCAAGCATTGCTTCGTGGATACTTATGGATTCGGTAATGGCGCTCCATGACTTCTTATCTCTTATTCTTCTAAGTAACTGTTAACTCTTTACCATCCCTCATTGTTTTTGTTCCGTCTTCCATTCGCACAAACTCTTTAAATAGTTTACCTGCTCTTTTTCCCTGCTTATCTTATATTATTAAAATTAAAGTAAATTTTGTAGATAAACAAGCTAACTTCGGGGTAGGGTAATGGTTGACGAGCTGTTCTGGTTGACCATTACTACTGAGTAGTGAGTTTGATCCTCAATGAGCCCCAAATTCGTGACATTGTGCCAAACTAAGCTTAACAGATAACAACGTCGCCTCAATATGAGGTAATGGTTAACGAGCTAACCTCATTGACCATTCTTCTTTTATGTACCGTGTCCCTTATCAGTGTTAGTAATCATGGCTCTCCACAATATCCTGTCCTTTTTAGATTTCTAAATAACTTTTGTCTTTTTGTCATCTCTCCCAAAGCTTGCTCCGCCATCCATTTGCTCAAGCTTGTCAGGTTGGTTGTTCGTTACTTTCCTCTGGCCGTCTTAGCTTTTCAAATTTTCCAAACCCTCTTTCTTCTTATTGCCTTGATATAAACTAAGCTAGGTTTAGTAAATAGAAACAAGGACGCCTCAGAGTAAAGTAATGATTAACAAGCAGTCTGGTTGACCCTTATTACTGAATAGCGATTGATAGAAATATGGATATTAAATAAAAATATCTTGATCGTTTCATATCTGGTCTGATGCTCCTGCTATATATCTCGAGATTCTTGACAAAATTCAAAAAAAGAGTCTGTAATGTTATGGGTCCTGACCTTGCATCTCGACTTCAGCCACTTTCTCACCGACGAGTCGTGGCTTCCCTCTTCCTTTTCTATAAATATTTATAAATCTAGAATTCGTCGATGAGTTGAATATCGCTGTCGTATCTGGTCTAGTGTTCCTGCTGTACATCTCGAGATTCTTGACAAAATCCAAAGAAGTTTCGGAAATATAATCGATCCTGACTTGGCATCTCGACTTCAGTCACCGGCGTGACCTCGCTTCCCTCTATCTTTTCTACAAATATTTATAAATCTACCATTTGTCCATGAATTGAATATCGCTGCCGTATCTGGTGTTCCTGCTGTACATCTAAAGATTCTTGACAAAATTCAAAAAAAGAGTCTGTAATGTTATCGATACTGACCTGGAATCTCGACTTCAGTCACTTCCTCACCGACGTGCCGTGGCTTCCTTCTTCCTTTTCTATAAATATTTGAACGGCAATTCCTCGACTGCATGCATTTAAGTGCACGATTAGATTGGCAACTAGCTCTCACCGATCTACTGTTTAAAAGATTGGACACTTGGAGATCTGAACGCAGAAGATTTACTTATATTGAGTCATTGTTACAGCCATGGTATTGAGAAAACTGTGTAAGAAAGATTTATTCTTCCAATTGTAATTCCCCCGATATGGGCATTATTATATCCATGATATAATAACACCGCATTTCACCGACGGAACGGGGAACGGCTGAAAGGAAAAGGAATGACAGAGAGACTTTTGTACCACTAAGATATACACAAAACTATATATATATATATATATATATATATATATATATATATATAAAATGCATATGTATATATATATATATATATATATATATATATATATATATATATATATATGTGTGTGTGTGTGTGTGTGTGTGTGTGTGTGTGTCCTACGGAGAATATATCACAGTTCTACACACAGAGCAGAGTGTAAGGAGAAACAAAAAGGGAGATTCTTACATATTATATGGAGATATTCCTATGTCTGGAGAAGCCATGTTTATGACTCCAAATTCAAGCGGGTCGGATTCATCTATGTCCCTAGAGAACGGGGAAACAAAGGAGTGTTGGTTTTTCCCAAATTGAGGAGAACGAGCTGGAGTTTCATTTTATGTCTGGGAAAGATATATTCAAAAAAAGAAAAAAAAGAAATAGACATCATGTACATGTAATCTGATGGGGGGTAGATTTAGCTTCTGCGCGGACCATAGGGGTACGTGCTAAAGAAAGCAAACCTACGGTTTAGCTGCTGAAAACAAACTGAACATGACTGTCGCTTTTGTGAGTATACGGAATGACGTCACTAAGCGGCTATCAAGTCACCCATGTGACTTATCGCCATTAAAGGGAGATAAGCGCTTTCCGTATTCCTATATATTTTGGATAGGCTTTAAATCTGAGCTGTAGCTTTCCCGCTGACATGAAGTGAAATGATTATATTGAATCAATTGCTAGGAACTACTGCTAGGAAAGTTAGGTCATCGTGTCACGCCAGACAATTTTTGTCGTCCGAGTTCATCTTGCACATATATAAATCTACCATTCGACATTGCGTTGAATACTACTGCCATATCTGTTCTGATGCTCCAACTATATATCACGAGATTCTCTACAAAATCCAAAGAATGGTCTGTAATGTAATCGATCCTGACCTGAGATCTCACAAATATACAACTGCCTCAGCCACTGGACATGGCATAGTGCATTCTTTTCTTGTTTTCGTACGAAAAAAAAAATGAGAGCAATGCGAAACGTGAGCTTTCTTCGTGGGATAAGTTGTCCTCTTCTAGAAGAAAACATCAACACAAAAGCGAAAAGAAAGAAAATTTTTAAAAATATGAAGAAAAGATGAAAACAAAAGACAAAAGAGCTGTGAGCGCCACCAGATCTGTCAGCGAAGTCTCTACTTTTAACGTAAAAGTTACGAGAAACTGATCTGTTTTTTGTGTGTAGAAAGAAAACAAAATGGCGACAGATTCCCGTTCAAATCGTTGTTTGTAATCTTGTTTCCCTGTCTTCTTGTTAATGACTCGAACAAGTGAATGTGAGAATTAGAAGATAGAATATATATTCATATATATATATATATATATATATATATATATATATATATATATATATATATATATGTGTGTGCATGTATACATATATATATATATATATATATATAGAGAGAGAGAGAAGAGAGAGAGAAAGAAAATGAAAAAGGATTCCGATAGATATGAAAAAGCTGGGGTAAATAGATAGATAGATATGAAAAGAATGAGATAGATAGATAGATAGATATAGAATATATGAAAAAATTGTAGAAGATATAAACAGATTGAGATAGATATGAAAAAGAAAGTGATAGATATAAACAGACTGCGATATATATATATATATATATATATATATATATATATATATATATAGAGATAGATAGATATGATCGAAGATAAATTATGATATTATTTCATATCTATCTCAGCCTGTTTCTATGTATGTATGTATGTATATATATATATATATATATATATATATATATATATATATATATATATATCACAATCGTTTCATATCTAGCTAGCTATCACTAAGATAGTTACATATGAATAGGAAGGGATGGATAGATAGATAGATATGAATAGCAAGGGGTATATAGATAGATTAATTATCACAAACTTTTCTTTCTTTCTATTTATCTCTGTTCATTATCTATCTATCTATCTATCTATCTATCTATCTATCTATCTCTGTTCATTATCTATCTATCTATCTATCTATCTATCTATCTATCACAATCTTTTCATATCGAACTAGATAGCTATCATAACAGATTGTTAAACATAAATTTCTAAATCCCTCTTTATTTAAAATATCTTTATTAATTAATTTTGGCAAGTTGTTTTTTTATAAATTTCTTTTCTACTTCGCGTATTTTAATGGCTGTCTAAATTTGAACACAAAAACACAGCTCATTTCAAGATAATAGTTTATGAACATTCAAAATAACAACGATACATTATAAATTCGCAAAAGATCTAATAACATTTTTAATATTTTCAATTCTATAATCTTTAGTAAACAAAGTCCTTGTATATTTCAATGTACAGAGAATTTTTAGGAATAGGTTAAGTTGCCCGTTCCGGTAAATGAGACAAACATGCTTTTAAATTTATTTTACCGGACACGGTAAAATAAACTCCCCCTAGGCTGTTTTGCTGGTAGATATTTTTATTATTACGAGGGCAGGTAATGTTAAAAAAAAACAAACACACACACAGATTTAACACATAAGTTTATATATTTTCACCATCAATTGTTAAGATAATTTAAAATCTTTTCCACCATTAATCCAAAAATTGCCCTTCGTCATGGCTCTCTTGCCAATGCACTTCAGATGCACCCACTGAAGACAACAGTCGCAGACCAAAGAATCCTTTTTGATATTCTTAGTTCTAAGACAATATTTATGTTTACCGGCAAACAAACCTTAGTTTCTATTTTACCGGGATCGTCAAAACAGTCTTGGTTTCTATTTTAACAGGACCGGCAAAATGGCCTTGGTGTCTATTTAACCGGGACCAGCAAAATGGCCTTGGTGTCTGTCTTACCGGGACCAGCGAAATGGCCCTGGTGTCTATTTTAGCGGAATCAGCAAAATGGCCTTGGTGTCTATTTTAGCGGAATCAGCAAAATGGCCTTGGTGTCTATTTTACCGGAATCAGCAGAATGGTCGTTGTGTCTATTTTACCGGTAGCGGTAAAATAGCCTATTCGATTTTTTACACTGTTTTAAACGGAGTGTCTCTTCATATATGGGTCTCCACTAAAAATAACGTTTAAATTCATAAAGATACGTCGGATTAATAAATAATTTAAATAATTTTATTATTTCTGGTTGTAGTTCATATTGTATTAATCCCCAGTATTTCCGATTTCTTTATACTTTGCTTAGTTTCCGAAAGGAAATTTTCTCGAGAGATAAAAATGAGGAAAATAGTCAAGTAATTTCCCAACTGCATTGTACTTATATAATATCAAAAACTTCATGTTTCTCTACATTTTTCTTGTTTATTTTTAAATTTTAAACTAAACCAAAAGTTAAATCAAGACAACTGATCGTATTCCCTGATTACCTGCTATAAAGGAAAATGAAAGGAATTAAACTAATTTTTAATTTATACTTAGGTTTGCTTAAACATGTACACCAAACGGGTAAGAATGAAAAAATATTTTTAAAGGGAATTTTTATGTTTATTTTTCCTTAAATTACGTACAAAAAATATAAAATTTAGGTCGTAACACTTGTTTTATGAACATTTTTATTTTAATTTATTGTCATAGGGAAATAAAACAAAATTTAGGTCCTAAATTTAATATTTTTTTGTATATATATATATATATATATATATATATATATATATATATATATATATATCAAATATGTGGTGCAGTTTAATTTATATTACAATGAATTATTCATACAAAAAGTAAATTAGTAAAGTTAATGATATAAAATGGCGAAATATATTCGCAAAGTAATTTTAAAGATGCATTAAACTGCTAATCACACGTTTGAATGCTATGATCCTTGTTTTTTAAAATTATAAACTGTATTGGGTCTTCCTTAAATACGCAAGTACTTTTGACGGTTCATCCGGTCATCATCAGGCATGGAAACTAAATTGACTGATATATATATATCTGAAATTTTACATATTATGTATGTATAAAAAATTTCGCTCTTCTTTACGTTTACCATATAATTTCTGGGTGTTTATGTCTAATTTTACATATTTATAGTTTTGAACCTCTCCATCTTAGAATGAATCAGTAAAAAATATTTATAAATTAGATGTGCCGAGTTTTTTCTTACTACTCAAAAAATTCTTACTTTTTGCCTATTATTCTTTATATCCTTTTTTTCAAACCTCAATTTTTTTGTCAGAATTGCTCTTGACATATGGCCTCACGAGAACAGAAAGTAAATTACGTTCTTTGACCAAACTTAGCACATACATACGTACAATGAGATAGGTTCTTAGCGTAAATTTCAAAAGACGGATTTTCACCAGATACAAATTTAATAAAGAAAATATTGGAGGTATCTAAACCCACAAATAAAAAAAAGAATTTTAGAGTTAGCCAATTTTTATAGCAGATATTTGCCAAATTATAGTGTATTAATAGAATTTGTGGAGTTATGGAAAAAGAATAGCAAATTTAAAATTGATTCAAAGGCAGAATATAGCATTTGAAAATTTAAAGAAAACACTTATAAAAAAAAAAACCTGTTTTAAAAATTGTTTGACCCTAACAAGAAAGTGACTTTAATTACAGACACAAGACTCCATATAATTTATTTTTCTAAAAAATTTAATGTCAGCCAAAGCTAATTATTCAAACACTGTAAAAGAAGCGTTAACTATTATATGGAACACAGATAGGGCTCACTATTTTTTATTAGGCATGAAGATTTTAAACGTTTAGAGTTTATTTTTAATCCCAGAAACTTATACTTACAGTCATATCTAGAATTTTAAGATGGGCCATAAAGCTCGTGATCTTTGACTTCGACATCAATTATGTGAAAGAAAAAGCTATTCCATATGTTGATCCTCTATCAGGATTAAAACTCGTTGAATGAACGATTAGAAAGATCAAACAATCACTGCTTCTACTTCACAGGCTAGAAGACAACACAACATGTCCTCATCATCAAAGCCATATGCTCTTTGCTTGGTGGAATTTCGAGGGGTGCTGCCCTTTGAGCTTGCCCCAGATGGTCATGCTGTGAACAGCCCTCGATCCGACATTATTCAATCGAAGATGCGCATTCCTACAGAATGACAATGTCCCACCGCACACTACCAATGTGACCAAGAACAAACATGAGGAACTTCAGGGGCTGTAATTTCTGCCTCAGCCTGCCTACAGTCCAAACCTTGTGCCATCAGATTATAACTTTGTCAGAGTAAGTTTGGTTTTAAATTTAACAAGCCACATCTTGCCCCAGTCCATAACAGATTTTAGGTCAAGTTCGAAATTAACTGCCAATTTGATTTTATCCAGCCAATCAGACTTACTAATAAGACAGGAGTAAATAGTTGTGTCATCAGCGTAGATATTGAGTCGAGAACTGAAGACAACAGTAAGGCTGTTGATGAAAAGTAACAAAGTGGGTTCAATAATAGAGCCCAATCGGACACACGCATTAATGCAAAATGATTTAGAGGAATGGCCGTTCAAGATAACTTTCATTACGCGGTTTGACAAGAAAGATTGAATACAAGTAGAGAAACAGCCAGAAACACCATAACTCTTGTAAAGAAGACCAGAATGCCAAACGATGTCACACTCTTTCAACATTATTTAAAGCAACAGCTTGCACTTCATTATTCTTATCAAAAGCTTGACAGACTCTTTCGGCAATAACCGTCAGCACATCGCAGGTTGACTTTGAAAAGCGAAAGCCATATTGTTTGTTTGAAAGAAGATAGTATAAGCTTCAACAGGGCTACATATTTTTTAAAATTCAGACTTGTTTTTTTTTATAGACTGATTTACAATCAAGGCTTAAGAACCCAGTCTACTCTACTGTTTATCCCATAGCTGGTGGAGAAAGATGGATGCATGCCTTTCCAAAGCATAAATGAATGTAACGAACTCAACTGGAATTCGAACATGGCTTTCCGATTTCTCATTCAGAGCCGCTACCTATTAACCCATGAACTGCCAAAATCTTTTTAATGCGCATTTTTAGCCCAGACAGGTGTCTTACGAGTTTAAACAACATACAATATTAAAATGTTCTGCGAATAGCTGGTACTTTGAAACTTTATAGAAACTAGAACATTAAATATATATGTGTATAAAACATAAAAAATAATATTGATTAGAAATAATAAAAAAATCCTTTTCAAAGTAGTCATTATTTTTCTGTTCGTGAAATGTAAAATTACAACAGAAAGTGTCTTGTTACGGCTAATAATAAAAACTTTAAAAGGCTAAGTGTTGTAAAATATACCTCTGCAAATGCAATGTATGTAAGCAATTCAATGTAAATACAAGGAATAACATGTAGTGAGTTTAATTTTAACAGATCCCCAAATGGGGCTCATGGCAGGTAATGGGTTAAACTGCCTGAACATTCTTTAGGATGTCATGAAAATCGCCAGTGCTTAAGAATGTTGAAAACGTTACCTTCACGAAAAGTTACAAATTTCAAGAAACGTTGTACTGAATCATTTCTTGATGTATGTGGTTGTGTATGAGAGAGTACGTGAGTGAATAAGTGAGAACAAAGCGTAACGAACAAAAGTTTAATAAACGTTATTTTTCTCATGAAATTCAGCGGGCCACTGAAAAAAAGAAAAGAAATTATTATGAACGCTTCCTGTTTAAGCAAAAGATGCTTACAAATATAATCTTCCTTAGGGAAAACATTATAAAATACAAGAAACGTTTTACTTAAAAATTGTGTATATCGGTCGTTAGGAAAGACAAAGTGTGAGTGAACAAGAGAAGACGAAATGAAACGAATAGGATTTTAATAAACGGTATTTTCCTTATGAAGTTAAGAAAGTTAGAAAACCAGCCGGGCTTTCTTTCTTCCTTTCTTCCTTTCTTCCTTTCATTTTTCTCTCCCATTCTCTTTCTCTCTCTCTCTCTCTCTCACCTGCTTTGATTCTTTGTTTTTCTTTCTTTGTTTTTTCTTTCTTTCTTTCTTTCTTTCTTTCTTTCTTTCTTTCTTTGTTTTTTCTTTCTTTTTTCTTTTCTTTCTTTCTTTTCTTTCTTTTCTTTCTTTCTTTCTTTCTTTCTTTTTCAATTCTGTTTTTCATTCTTTCTTTCTCTCTTCTCTCTTCTCTAATTTTCTTTTCTGTCTCTCTGCCCTACCTTGATTATTTCTCTTTTTAATTTCATTATCTCTTTCTCCCTCCTTTCCTGCTTTTGATTCTTTATCTTTAATTTCTTTTTTTTTCTCTCTCTCTCTCTCCTCTTTCTTTCTTTCTTTCTTTCCTTCTTTTCTTTCTTTTTCTTTCTTTCTTTCTTTTTACCTCTCAGCATCGATTATTTCTTTTTAATTTCTTTCTTTCTTTCTTTCTTTCTTTCTTTCTTTCTTTCTTTCTTTCTTTCTTTCTCTTCCTTCCTTCTTTCCTTTCTTTCTTTCTTTCTTTCTTTCTTTCTTTCTCTTCCTTCCTTCTTTCCTTTCTTTCTTTCTTTCTTTCTTTCTTTCTTTCTTTCTTTCTTTCTTTCTTTCTTTCTTTCTTTCTTTCTTTCCTTGTTTTTTCTTTCTTTCTTTCTTTCTTTCTTTCTTTCTTTCTTTCTTTCTTTCTTTCTTTCACCTGTTTCTATTCTGTCTTTCATTCTTTCTTTCTCTCTCTCTCTCTCATTTTCTCACTTTCTGTCTCTGCCCTACCTTGATTATTTCTCTTTAATTTCATTATCTCTTTCTCCCTCCCTTTCCTGCTTTGATTCTTTATCTTTAATTTCTTTCTTTTCTCTCTCTCTCTCTCACTCTCTTTCTTTCTTTCTTTCTTTCTTTCTTTCTTTCTTTCTTTCTTTCTTTCTCTTCCTTCCTTCTTTCCTTTCTTTCTTTCTTTCTTTCTTTCTTTCTTTCTCTTCCTTCCTTCTTTCCTTTCTTTCTTTCTTTCTTTCTTTCTTTCTTTCACCTGTTTCTATTCTGTCTTTCATTCTTTCTTTCTCTCTCTCTCTCTCTCTCATTTTCTCACTTTCTGTCTCTGCCCTACCTTGATTATTTCTCTTTAATTTCATTATCTCTTTCTCCCTCCCTTTCCTGCTTTGATTCTTTATCTTTAATTTCTTTCTTTTCTCTCTCTCTCTCTCACTCTCTTTCTTTCTTTCTTTCTTTCTTTCTTTCTTTCTTTTTCTTTTCTTTCTTTTTACCTCTCCAGCATCGATTATTTCTTTTTTTAATTTCTTTTTTCTTTCTTTTCTTTTTTCTTTCTTTCTTTTCTTTCTTTCTTTCTTTCTTTCTTTCTTTCTTTCTTTCCTTCCTTCTTTCCTTTTCTTCTTTCTTTCTTTTTTCTTTCTTTCTTTCTCTCTCTTCCTTCCTTCTTTACTTTCTTTCTTTCTTTCTTTCTTTCTTTCTTTCTTTCTTTCTTTTCTTTCTTTTCTTTTCTTTCACCTGTTTCTATTCTGTCTTTCATTCTTTCTTTCTCTCTCTCTCTCTCTCTCATTTTCTCACTTTCTGTCTCTGCCCTACCTTGATTATTTCTCTTTTTAATTTCATTATCGCTTTCTCCCTCCCTTTCCTGCTTTGATTCTTTATCTTTAATTTCTTTCTTTTCTCTCTCTCTCTCTTTCTTTCTTTCTTTCTTTCTTTCTTTCTTTCTTTTCTTTCTTTCTTTCTTTCTTTCTTTTTACCTCTCCAGCATCGATTATTTCTTTCTTTCTTTCTTTCTTTCTTTCTTTCTTTCTTTCTTCCTTCTTTCCTTTCTTTCTTCCTTTTCTTTCTTTCTTTCTTTCCTTTCTTTTCTTTTCTCTTTTCCTTCTTTCTTTCTTTCTTTCTCTTTCTTTCACCTGTTTCTATTCTGTCTTTCTTCTTTCTTTCTTTCTTTCTCTCTCTCATTTTCTCACTTTCTCTGCCCTTTGATTATTTCTTTTAATTTCATTATCTTTCCTCCCTTTTCCTGCTTTGATTCTTTCTTTAATTTCTTTCTTTTCTCTCTCTCTCTCTCTTTCTTTCTTTCTTTTTCTTTCTTTCTTTCTCTTTCTTTCTTTCTTTCTTTCTTTCTTTCTTTTTTACCTCTCAGCATCGATTATTTCTTTTAATTTCTTTCTTTCTTTCTTTCTTTCTTTCTCTTCCTTCCTTCTTTCCTTTTCTTTCTTTCTTTCTTTCTTTCTTTTCTTTTCTTTCTTTCTTTCTTTCTCTCCTTCCTTCTTTCCTTTCTTTCTTTCTTTCTTTCTTTCACCTGTTTCTATTCTGTCTTTCATTCTTTCTTTCTCTCTCTCTCTCTCTCTCTCTCTCTCTCATTTTCTTTTCTCTCTGCCCTTTGATTATTTCTCTTAATTTCCCTTTCTCCCTCCCTTTCCTGCTTTGATTCTTTATCTTTTAATTTCTTTCTTTTTCTCTCTCTCTCTCTCTCCCTTTCTTTTCCCTTTCTTTTTTCTTTTTTTCTTTCTTTTTACCTCTCAGCATCGATTATTTTTTTAATTTCTTTTCTTTCTTTTCTTTTTCTTTCTTTTCTTTCTTTCTTTCTTTCTTTCTTTTTACCTCCAGCATCTTATTTCTTTTTTCTTTCTTTCTTTCTTTCTTTCTTTCTTTTTTTCTTTCTTTCTTTTCTTTCTCTTCCTTCCTTCTTTCCTTTCTTTCTTTCTTTTCTTTTCTTTTCTTTCTTTCTTTCTTTCTTTCTTTCTCTCTCTTCCTTCCTTCTTTCCTTTTCTTTCTTTCTTTCTTTCTTTTCACCTCTTTCTATTCTGTCTTTCATTCTTTCTCTCTCTCTCTCTCTCATTTTCTCACTTTCTGTCTCTGCCCTACCTTGATTATTTCTTTTAATTTCATTATCTCTTTCTCCCTCCCTTTCCTGCTTTGATTCTTTATCTTTAATTTCTTTCTTTTCTCTCTCTCTCTCTCTTTTCTTTCTTTCTTTTTTTTTACCTCTCCAGCATCGATTATTTCTTTTTAATTTCTTTCTTTTTCTTTCTTTCTTTCTTTTTTCTTTCTTTCTTTCTTTCTTTCTTCTTCCTTCCTTCTTTTCCTTTCTTTCTTTCTTTCTTTCTTTTCTTTTCTTTCTTTCTTTTCTTTTCTTTCTCTCTCTTCCTTCCTTCCTTTCTTTCTTTCTTTCTTTCTTTCTTTTCTTTCTTTTTTTCTTTCCTTTTCTTTCTTTCTTTCTTTCACCTGTTTCTATTCTTTTCTTTCATTTCTTTCTTTCTCTCTCTCTCTCTCTCTCATTTTCTCCTTTCTGTCTCTGCCCTACCTTGATTATTTCTCTTTAATTTCATTATCTCTTTCTCCCTCCCTTTCCTGCTTTGATTCTTTTATCTTTAATTTCTTTCTTTCTCTCTCTCTCTCTTTCTTTTTTCTTTCTTTTCTTTTCTTTCTTTCTTTCTTTCTTTTCTTTCTTTTTACCTTCCAGCATTTATTTTTTTAATTTCTTTCCTTTCTTTCTTTCTTTCTTTCTTTCTTTCTTTTCTTTTCTTTCACCTGTTTCTATTCTGTTCATTCTTTTTTCTTTCTTTCTTTCTTTTTTTCTCACCTGTCTCTGCCCTACCTTGATTATTTCTCTTTAATTTCATTATTCTTTCTCCCTCCTTTCCTGCTTTGATTCTTTATCTTTAATTTCTTTCTTTTCTCTCTCTCTCTCTCTCTTTTTTTTTCTTTCTTTCTTTCTTTTTACCTCTCGATTATTTCTTTTTAATTTCTTTCTTTCTTTCTTTCTTTCTTTTCTTTTTCTTTCTTTCTTTCTTTCTTTCTTTCCTTCCTTCCTTTTTCCTTTCTTTCTTTCTTTTCTTTTCTTTCTTTCTTTTCTTTCTTTCTTTCTTTCTCTCTTCCTTCCTTCTTTCCTTTCTTTCTTTTCTTTCTTTCTTTTCTTTCTTTCTTTCTTTCACCTGTTTCTATTCTGTCTTTCATTCTTTCTTTTCTCTCTCTCTCTCTCTCTCTCATTTTCTCACTTTCTGTCTCTGCCCTACCTTGATTATTTCTCTTTAATTTCATTATCTCTTTCTCCCTCCCTTTCCTGCTTTGATTCTTTATCTTTAATTTCTTTCTTTTCTCTCTCTCTCTCTCTCTCTCTTTCTTTCCTTCTTTCTTTCTTTCTTTCTTTCTTTCTTTTTACCTCTCCAGCATCGATTATTTCTTTTTAATTTCTTTCTTTCTTTCTTTCTTTCTTTCTTTCTTTCTTTCTTTCTTTCTCTTCCTTCCTTCTTTTCTTTCTTTCTTTCTTTCTTTCTTTCTTTCTTTCTTTCTCTTTCTACCTCTCCCCTGCTTTGATTCTTTCTCTTTAATCTCTTTCTTTTCTTTTACTCTTCTCTCTCCTCTGCTTTGACCCTCTCTTATTTCTCTCTCTCTCTCTCTCTCTCTCTCCTGCTTGTGATACTATTCTTTTCTCTATCCCCTTTATTGTGACCCTCTGCCATATTTTCATCAAGATATAATCTATATTTATTTTTACACTGGATGCTTCTCGAACATTTTGACTCTAAACCTACATATACCGCCCCCTCCCATATACTTAAATATATACATACATACATCTTTCAAAGATACATACATGCAAACCCACATACATATATTTCAATGCATACATGTACATCTCACATATACATACACCTATGCATTTTTCACAACGTACCTACACCCACTACATATAAATACATACGCTTCCTCATATATACTCACACATACACGCACTCATACAGATACATACTCTCAAACAATCCCACACACAAATACCGTATATACTCGCGTATCATGCGACTTTTGAAAACCTAATACGAGATTTAAGATTGGCGTATTTAATCTTAGCACTGGCTTCGCCGTTGACCAAACCATATATCCATTTACTGCAGTAATTGTCAACGTCATCCAGGTGGACGACCGGTGGTTCACATGGCATTTCTAGTGGTTCACAGCGAATTCGTAGGCATAAAAAAAATTGTAGCCATGTTACAAAACTGTATCTAAATTATTCATACTTTGAAGAATACAAGAATATATTTAATCACACACGATTATTATATTTGAAAATTTCGAAATTACGTCGTGTTATATTTATTTTAAAGTAGGAAGTAAAAGTAGGAGTGGTCCATTTGAATATTTTGAAGAAAAAAATGATCAATGGGCTGAAAAAGTTTGAGAAACATTGCTTAATGCTGCTCCAGTAAGTACCTGATTCCTCATGCCGTCTCCAGTAAGTACCTGTCTCCTCATGCCGCTAACGTACGTACCTGCCTCCTCATGCTGCTCCAGTAAGTACCTGACTTTCTCATGCCATCCCCAGTAAGGACCTAACTTATCATGCCACTCCAATAAGTACCTGACTCCTCATGTCGCTACAGTACGTACCTCATGCTGCCCCAATAAGGACCTGACTCTTCATACCGTCTCCGGTAAGGACCTGATTCCTCATGCCGTCCCTAGTAAGGACCTAATGCCTCTCCAGTAAGTACCTAACTCCTCATGACGTCCCCAGTAAGTACCTGACTCATCATGCCGTCTCCAGTATGTACCTGCCTCCTCATGCAGTCCCCAGTAAGTACCTGCCTCCTCATGCCGCTCCAGTACCTACCTGACTCCTCATGCCGCTCCAGTAAGGACCTGACTTCTTATGCCGTTCCAGTAAGTACCTGTCTCCTCATGCCGCTAACGTACGCACCTGCCTCCTCATGCTGCTCCAGTAAGTACCTGACTTTCTCATGCCATCCCCAGTAAGGACCTAACTTATCATGCCACTCCAATAAGTACCTGACTACCCATGACGTCCCCAGAAAGTACCTGACTCCTCATGTCGCTACAGTACGTACCTGACTCCTCATGCTGCCCCAGTAAGGACCTGATTCCTCATGCCGTCCCTAGTAAGGACCTAATGCCTCTCCAGTAAATACCTGACTCCTCATGACGTCCCCAGTAAGCACCTGACTCATCATGCCGTCTCCAGTAAGTACCTGCCTCCTCATGCCGCTCCAGTACGTACCTGACTCCTCATGCTGATCCAGTAAGGACCTGACTTCTTAAACCGTTCCCAGTAAGACTCCTCATGCCGTCCCCAGGAAGGCCCTGACTCCTCATGCTGTCCTCAATAAAGACCTGACTCCTCATGCCGTTCTCTTTGTAAGAGTCTGATCAGGCCGAAAATGGAATACTGTTGCCATATTTGGACAGGAGCTGCCCTGACCTCACTTTCTAGTCTTGATAAAATTCAAAAGCGTCTCCGATTGCTTGTAGAAGCTCTCTCTCACAGACAGGATATGGCGTGTCTGTCATTACTTTATCGTTACTACCATGGAAAATGCTCGGACAAATTGCGTCTCCTGGTTACACCAGGTCAGACCTTCACGGTTATAACCCGCCATGCCACTTGCATAGTAACAAACCATCCACATTCCCTTTGTATTCCATCGGCGAGAAGTAAATTCCACTCAAACAGCTTCTTCTCGCGAACCACTGCCCTATAGAATAGACTTCCAATAGGAGGTTTCCCCAATCACTACAATCATAACCAGTTCAAGTCTAGCGTCATGCCGTTAATTTCCCCTCCTATCCTATAAACTAGCCCTTATCGTAACCCTCTATCCCGAGTGTCCCCGGGCCTTGTACAAGGGGAAAAAAATTCGGGTATTTTTATGTTTGTGATTTTCATTGTTCAATCATGTTACACGTTTGTTAAACAAACGTTAGTATAATTTGTGGTGTTTTGAATTCAAGGAGAGACGACACGTCCTTTCGAAGTTCCAAGAAATGAATGTATAAGATATGCATAAATAAACATGTATAGCATAGCTGGCCACTCGTATTCGAGGATACCCGTCTACTAGGGCGGTGAGCCAATCCCTAATACAGACGCTTGCTCAGGCGCATTTGTGTTTGCTCAACACCCACATAGCCCACCTGTGGTTTATACTGCAACTATACTGAACAGACCTTAGTTACATTTT